GATGAAATGACTTGTTTCAAAACGTCCATCCGCCCACCTGGTGTGTGTGAACAACACTAGCACGTAAACTATGAGTGCGATTTTTCTAAACTGAATAAACCCCGGTTAATTTCGCCTGAGTCGAAGCTCTGTGATTTTGAAAAACATTAATTTTGGGGGTTTTTTACATGAAGCCCACCGGACGTTTTCAAAGTGATCTCAAATACGCCTCCAAATTTTTCTTTAAATTTCTCGAAAGAATAGAGCAACATACACTTACAAAAGTGGCATAGGTTCGATTTTCACGATCAATTCTGAATATTCTAATATTTCAAAAGCATGATTTTTTTGGTGTCTCCCTAGAACTACAAAATTAAAGATAGAGATTCTCCCTTCAAATGAAATTTGTTGTCCATAGTGATTTCTTTCATTAAGGTGTATTTTTTGAAAATTTTAGTAGTTTTCGCGCAATATTGCGTGCAATTTTAAAAAATTACAAAAATATGATTTTCTCAAAAACGGCTCCAAATTTTGTCTTTAAACTTTTAGTATATATAGTGCTAAATGTACTCTATGAGATGATACAAACATCAGTTTGCTCTATTCTTTTGCTTTTTCAAAAAATACACAAATGTAATTAATTTGACTTGTCTCCCACGTTATTATTTACATTAGCGCCGGTTTGTTCACATTATTATATTGATGAGTACATGTGCTTTAAATATTATATAAAGTTTCTCGAAAACACAACCGTTTTCTATGGAAATGAGCACAAAATTATGCATTTTCAGAAATACTCTTTACACCATTTTCTCAAAACCCGCTCCAATTTGTTTCTTCAAACTTTTCGAACGAATAGTGCTAATTGTACTCTTCAATATGACACAAAGTTAATAACGTTTTTTTTTTGTTTTGTTTTTTTAAATACACAAGTGTATTTTTATTTTAAATCTCTTTCTCGCCATTAATATGCACATTTCCAGCAATTTGTAAACACTATTGTATTTGTGAGTTAATGTGATTCAATATCGTTTTTGTTCCCACAAAGGGATATTTTTAAAATGTCAAAAACCGCAATAAAGGATGCCCAGTTCAGCTCAGGATCAGAAAACCCGCCTACTAGTAGGCAACCCGCAGTGCGCATCTGCGCTGCGGAACGTCCAAATATTCCAATTAGGGGGCAACTTATCGTCCGATTTAAATAGTGATTGTGGCATATCAGCTCTGGCACCGTAATCCAATCGGGAGTTCGATGCAAAAAATGAAATCTGTAACATAGCTCCAGATTGGATTATCGACTGATGATCTGTCACAAGTCACCATACTTAAATCTGACAATAATATAGTCATAGGTTTGTGAGTAATTATTTCGCGTTTCCTGGTGCTGCAACTGCTGTGATTATTAGTCCCGTACGTGTAGTGCATGTTATCACGTGAAGTACCTGTGTTATTCCCTCGCTGGGTGGTGAGATCAGGCGTCGACCTAAAGGCCAGTTTCCTTGGAGGTTTTCTCAATCATATCTCCCACATGGCACTGCTCGAGCCGGGACAAGCTCTAAGCACTCGACCGTTCTCCCGGCATATGTGGTAAATTGGTGCATGTGAATATTTGCGTGTGTAAGACCCGACAAGGGATCAAGCGGAAGGAAGCGCGCGGTCCGTGTTCCGCTTTTTAAAATACTGGTCTGGAAGTCGCCTGGTATTGATCAGAGAAACCAAGGAAAACTAACGATCGAAGCAGCCGACCGCAAAAATTCTCCTTCATGCAGGTTTGTTCGCGTTTGTCTCTTTAATTTCCCGCCCTTGTGTTGAATGGGCTAGCATCAACGTTCCAGTACGTCCACACGAAAGCTGCTGGTGCGTTTTCCCATCATAGATTCTTCTCATTCTACCATGTATCTCATCTCAACCTCATTCCATCGTCACTAAGATGAAGGGGGAAAAGCCAGCAAGTCGATGTGAAGTTCGGCGCCAGACCTCATTATGTAGTGGGCGAGAAACCTCCCGTTTATAACATGCACTACATGTATGGAACTAATGACCATAGCAGCAGACGCACCTGGACTGAAAGCAAATCACTACTGATCATCTGCTCAAGAAATGGGAGGACATTAAGAGTAAAAGGCCCCCTCCCTCGTTTACGCTCAGAAATGACCATGGCCCTCTTCACCCAAAATTTACCTTCGGGAGCTTACTCCCCGGTAGATTAAAGGCAGTCTTAATCTCAGTGCTGTCGTTATTGTCTTTTCGGCACAACATAAACGTTCAGACGGTAAGAGTTCAATGGTTATGGTTAGAATGAAAGAGTAGGTGGCGGAATAAAAAATGGAAAACTAAAAAACGGCAAGAGGGGAAGAGAGAGAGAGAGAGAGAGAGAGAGAGAGAGAGAGAGAGAGAGAGAGAGAGAGACAGACAGACAGACAAACGAGGAAACATTCCGAATAGGTTAATGGCAACCTGAATCTCAATGCGGTCGTCATTGTCTTTTAGGTACAACATACACGTTCAGATAAAGAGTTCAATAGTTATGGTATGAGAATGAAGGTTTAGGTAGCAGAGTAAAAAAGGAAAACAAAAATAGGCAAGAGGACCAGAGAGAGCGAGAGAGATAAAGGGAGAAGGAGGAAGGGGAGGAGAGAGGGAGGGAGAGAGAGACAAACGCGGAAACGTCTCGAGTAGATAGATGGCAGCCTTAATCTCAATGAGGCCGTCATTGTGTCTTCGGGACAACAAAAACCTTCAGACGATACGAGTTCAGTGATTATGATATAACAATGAAGGATTAAATGGTGGAATAAAAAATAAAACTAAAAATGGTGACAGAGGAGAGCGAGCGAGACAAACAGGAAGCCTGGCGTGAACCGTGATGCACCACTGATAAGACCGTAAAAATCCGGGGAGAGTAAAGTGAGTGCTCGTCATCGACTCTACGTCAGGGGTTCAAATTTCGATCGACCCATGTGGAATTTGAGGTAGACATGGGGAGTTCGAGACAGGTTTGTGGTGGGCCAGTTACCCCTCCCATTCCAAAATTGCTCCATCGTCCCAATCATTTCAACAGTGAAACCCATTCATTAAAATCCATTGTCTGGCTGTAACACTAAGAACATATTAGCGTCAGGAAATACAGATGGAGAGGAAGAATTTGAACTTCAATACCAAGAGATGAAAAGCTTGCATGCTGATCGCTATGCTACGGGTCATCCTTTAACAAAAATAAAATGTTTAGATTTGAAATAAATTGTTTACTTCTCAAATGTTTCCACTGCTACCCAATAAGAATAAAAGATCTTAAAATATTTCCTCTATGGCCTCTAATCGTATCCTAGATTGGATAAAGTTGATATTTTGGAGTAAGAAACATTTTGCTTATTTACTTTCGTTTTTTTCATGAAAAATTTTATAATTTTTGGATATCTAACAACTCTAAATAAATATTTCAAAGAGTGAACTTAATCTCCCACTTTTCAAATTTAAGTAGTTGTAAGATATATTTGAACTGTACAGTAACAAGCAGATGTATAGAAATATCATTGTAGAAGGGGCATATTTCAGAATTTACATTGGATGCCAAGCTCAGAAAATGAAACTTGTTAAACACTGTAGGATCATTGGATTTATTTGCAAATTAAAAATGAAAGACTAATTGCCTTGTAATTCTCCTACTACATTTTGAATTGAGCTAACTGTTCAACTCAACTGTTCTACAAGAAAATTTGAACATTATTGAGATGGAATACTATAGGCAAGTCTCCTTTATGAGAGAAAATCTAATCATTTATCATCCTACAATTTAAATAACTGCCAATATCACCTAGGTAAATAAAATTTTTAATTTTATTTATTTGTGAACTCCATTAAAACAATGAACCATACTCTACCTATACTGTCTACATCTTTCCATAAGAAATACAAACAATGAAAACAGATATACAGCCTCTGCTCATTTCTAAACCATATAGTGCCCACCTGTAATTGTTTATTTTAAAAGTTACTTTATGATTTGGAATGTTATGCAAATAATAAATTAAATATTGTCTGATAAGACAGTCCACATTCAATATTTTTCAACCTTTTACCAAGGTCTGCCACCTTTAAAAAAATCTGGATAAATCAAAAACTTCACTTCTGACCAATTACACAAGTGATTGGTCTAAAACTATCACATTATTGGTTTAATAAATGAATTTGGTGTAGTGAAATGAGTTAGTACTAAGAAAGACAAGCAATCTTAAATTTAACGTTAAAGTAGTTCAATAGACAATAATAGTGTAGTTCACAGAAATGAACAAATATTTTAGTAAAGCCCATTGTTGGAAGAAGGATAAATAAAAGGAAAACAATTTTATTATTCTCAAATTCTTTGAACAAAAGAACATACTTTTTGAAAACGCAATCATATTTTCTGGATTTGATGGCAACTGGATCACATCTTCACACACATTTTACACTCCATAAAAAATTTGGTTTACTGATGAAGTTAATTTGTTGACGCAAAAGGGCAATATTTAAAAAAGAATAACATGCATCATCACCAATGGAAATTATTTTAAATAAATAAACATGGACAAGTAAAAATACTACTAAGACATCTTTGTCAGGACATGAACAATAAATATAAAAATGCATTGTTGTGGTGCTGCGAGGAAGAAAATGGTATATATATTTAAATTAGCCTACTTGTAGTTAAATAAATTATCAATATTAAACGTAATTACAAGAATTTTTCTCTGCAATATATGCAAAATTCAATACTTGCATTATAATATCAACAGTCATTTTGGAATAAAGTGTGTGTTCATTTAATAAAGTGTGACAACTCCTTCTTTGGTCAATGCAACAATATTGATAGATTCTTAAAGAACACAGCCAGTGAAACATGTTTACAACTACCAAACATTTAATTAAAACTTGCACACCATTTTCCAGTAGACCTTCATGAACATTTTCATACTACTGTTAAACATTTAATGAGAGCATGCGAATTATGTTGGAAGTCAAAAACATTCATGTGACAATACCTGTCAATAAAACCATCTCCATCTCCATCACAGGCTTGAAACAACTTTCGAACTCTTTCCTCTTCACAAATTGAACTTTGATCTTCACCGAAATTCTCTGAATGTTCTAGCGTACCAGCCATCTTCGGATACGACAAATTGTATTTACATTAACTGCACCAGATGAAATGAACACTTGGTAAAAAGAAAGTTCTTTAAAATAATAAATTTGCCAGATATACATATTACAGATTCTTTCACGCGCCTCGTGCAGACGTTCTCGTCACGAAACCGTTCGACATTAACTTTCAATGTCTCATCCACACCCCACATGCGAAACATCATTTTACATCTACTCTTGTTCGTAGAGTGTCTCTCATCGTATAGCCTTGACATTTAATCGTAGAAGGTTGCCACAAGGCGAGAACGGCTAAGAGAAACATTATACTTCACACAACACACGGCCAATCGAACACATGATCTCAACACTCATGAGTTTACAGGATCTGAGAATTCTCGCACTATCCAGACACACTACACCAGATTAAGATTAGTAAATCTTCCATTCCAACCCCGGCAGACAAATTTAATATTCCAGTTGCAGTTTTCATTATTCGTGGCTTAGTCAAGAGGTACACATCTGAATAGAATTTGGTACATTAAAATTGTCATAGCACAGGATTGAAAGAACCTTACAAGGTAAAAGCGTAGATAACTAAAAATTCGGTTATGGTAATGGAAATGTTTTAACTTTTAAATATCCTAACACAAAAATACAAGCCATCTTCGCTGTTTACGAAGAAAGCTGTATCCGACGTGCCTCAGTCGCTTCATCTGGCATTTATCCGGTGGCTGTCAGACGCTGGTCACACGACTACAAGACAAACGATGTCCCACATGCGCACTTCAGTAAGCTAACCTACCGGAAGGTAGCGACACTGTGTATTCCACGAACCAATTTCAAACTGATATGTGAAAATAAAGGGATTGTACTACACCCTCCTAAAAGAAAGGCCGTGATTATATCAGTTCAAAATTTTTAATTCTTTATAAAATTAATCTATTATTGAGTGTTCGAAAAGGCCAGGAAGTTAATTCAGCAGGTGAATTCAACTGAAAGGGTACCCCCAGATAAGATGGTAGAAAAGGTTCCCCTAAACCAAATGACATATTAGTAGTTACACTATACCTCTAAACATAAAAATATTTTTGGAAGATTTTTTAGCACCCAGCCGACCACCCACACCCCTCTACAGACAAAAACTTTTTCTTACTTAATTTTTTTGCCAACTAAACATCATTATGATTGAAAAAACTAATAAAATAATTCATACTATCAGAAAAACACTTTTCCATTTTCCAAAAAACCATATTTTTCAAAAAATAAATTCTTAATGTCTTAGAACTCTGGAACAGGCTCGAAAAAAATCTCCAAAAATCCAAAAGTTCCTCTTAAACCATAAATTGTTGTGGAATTATTTCAGATTTTTTCTATTGCTGGGCTGCTAAAAAAAATTTTAAAAAATTTTACCAATTTCCAATCTTAAGCACCTTGACTTTAAATATACTTTGAAAATATGATTTTAAATATATATTTTGAAAGTATATTTAATAACAGTTCTGTGCATTTAATTTAGAGTTTATTATACATTTCTATACATTGTTGAAGTACCCAGTAATATTTTGACTTCGTTATATAAAACAAATTATCATGTTTTTAAAGCCTTCTAATCCTCTGTATATCATAGGGGACAGTTTTTGGCAGTTAATAAGACACCATTGACACTAACTCTTATGTGATAGTGGTGGAAAGAGAATTACACTCCAGTTCTACGTCAAGCATATTTCAGAAGAAAAAATACAAGTTTGCCAATTATGACATACAAAAACAAATGATTATTGCAACACATCACAAATAACTCGGAAGTGATTCTTATGTCCTAGGCCTTTTAAACTCTGTTTGCCTATCCCATGGGGATGCGACATTTTTTAAGGCAAGTAAATTCCAACAGAAGACGTGTTTTGAGAGACGGATAGACGACAAATGGGGAAATTAGGGACAGTTCGAGTGATGGGGAAGGATAGTGGGGAAATGAAAGGAGACAGGTTGGACCTGGATTATGTTCTCAGGTTGTATTCTACAAAATACGATCTTTTGGATTGTTCTTTTACAATTTTGCAGATTTAGTTCTCTTGGGTGTTCCCACTCTATAGCATGGGCGGACAGAAGAGCAGAAGCCAAAATCAGTGTAAAATTAAATTTATTATGAAATTATCTTTCACAATAATATTAAAAGGACTTTTTTACTTTCGGTGCATTTCAATCTCAATGCTCAATTCAAATGGTTTCTGTAGCACAGTGCAGGGCGTATAATACTGTAAAACATTTCAAGGTAGGGGTGTTCGCAGATGGGTGCTACTTTAACTAAATTTTCAATATAACTATTTTTAACAAAGTGCAGTGTTTTTGCACTTGTTCATATTGTATACACTTACGGTAATATATTTATTTTTCTGTCGTATTTATACGCATTCAATGTTTTGAGAGAAAGGTTTAATATTTTTTTCGTGCCTGATCTGGTGTTCTAAGACACAGTGAAACAGATCTTGTAAATCCAGGTTCAACCTGTTCCCCTTCTTTTTCCACATGTCCCCGATTTATCCTTCAGCTGTGACCGATTCTTTTTTTCGTTAACTACCAAAAACTATTGTCTTTCATTGGCATATGACATATAAAGGATTAGAAAGCTTTAAAAACATGATCATTTGTTACATATAACAGTCAAAATATTACTGGGTACTACAGCAATGTACACAAATGGAAAATAAATTTACAGAACCGTTGCATTGTCTAAATATATTTAAAGTCATGTTGCTTGAAAGGTGGAAAGAAGGTAAAAATGTGTCTTTATTTTTCTAACTGCAGCCCAGCAATTAAAAAAATTGAAATAAATCAGACACAATTTATGGTTAAAGCCTTTTGAGATTTTTTCGTGCCCGTTCCAAGGTTCTAAGACACACTAAAAGTTGTTTGTTTTTTTTCAAAATATTTTTTTGCTTTTGAATTTGGCGCAAAGAAAATGTCAAAAATTGTTTTTCTGATAATATGAATTATTTTCTTACTTTTCATACTTTTTTTCAATCAGATAAAATAGTGTTAAGACGGTGAAAAAATTAAAAAAATAAAACACGTTTTTGGCTCTAGAGGGGTGTGGGTGGTCCATCAGGGACTACGAAAACTTTCAAAATTATTTTTATGTTAGAGTTAAGTGTAACTTCTCATGTCATTTGGTTTAGAGGTACTTTTTACCATCTTATCTGGAGGTACCCTTTGCATGTCTGAAATATTGTAATATTAAAATTATGGTTTCAACTTAAAGGAATATCACAATATTGAGTAGTAGTATTGCATTTCCCAAATCATTTAATATTGAATTCATTCAAAATTCTATTACAATTTCATCATGAAAAAGAAAATTTGCTGGACCACTAAATACCACTTACAGGCTTTTTTAAGAAGCTGGCACCTGTTCAATTTACAAGAGTACTAATTTATTTGAGTGAATGACCAAAGTCAGGTTTTTGAATAATAGGCGGTCATGGCACTGCAAAAGTGGGTCAGGACTCCCATTTTCTAACAAAATAAAGGCAAAATGTGCCGTTTCTATTTTGACATTATAATCACATTTAGTGATACTCAAAATACTTACTGTACATATAACCAACTTGAAGTTAAATTAATAACAGAAAGATTGAACTCAAATATTTCCCAATAACACTACTTTGAATTTCAACCTCCAACTGGCACTGCCATGTCTTTCCTTTATTTCACATGCTAGACACAACATCAGAATGAGGTGGGTTTCTCACTATTCCGGCAAAGCCAAACACACTACTTCACCCCAAAACATTAATTGAAATTCTTAATATATAAGCTGGCAGCTCAAAAAATTTTATTTGGAATACAATAAAAATTTCCACTCGAAAATTGATTTTTAAATGTATATTTTAATTTTAATTTTAATTTTAATTAAATTTTAATAATAAATAAATAAAAAAATTTTAAATTAAAAATAAATTTTTAAATTAAAATTTTTAAAATAAAATTTTTAAATTTTAAATAAATTTACATAGTGTTTGCATATTGGAGTCCACTAACACTTATTATTCCAAACCATAGCATGAGCTGACTGATTAAAATACATAAATGGATAGTTCCGATGGCAGCTGTCTGCTGGCAAGAGGTTTTGACATTGCTGTATTTAGAGGTACAACCTTTTCTTGTAGATAAATGTGTTATTGTATTTCTCTTTTATTTTCGTTTAATATTAAAAAGATAAAGAAATAAAAATCGTTTTTAATTTAAGTGTATTCCAATCAAGATGCTTAAACAATTTGTGTCAATTAGCAAATTTTTTTTGTTTTGATATAATCTTTGAAATTTCTGAAATAAATATTTTGTGATTTCCTTAACTTATAGTGAGTTAAAAATTTTAAATTAACATAAAAATTAACTTTTCTTTATTGACTATTTTAAAAGACACTCTCACCCGCTTCAGCATTAAAACTTTGTACTGTGTGCAGGAGTAAAGAAACATTGAGTCAGTAAATTTAAATTGTTCTAAAAAATTTCACAAAAATGGTTCAAAGCATTTGGAGGTTATTTTCACTTTCTTATTTTGCAGAAGTTGAAAGTTGTTTTCTGAGTACCTGCATGTAAAGCCTATGTCACACATGTGTTGCATTGACACACATCGTAGGTTAACTGTATCTTATGCAGAACGGCCAAGAGTGCTCGTGTGCCATTGTAAGATGAAGAGTTAATCTACGACACCTGTTACTTAACACATGTGCAATACTTGTGTGAAACAAGCCTAAAACGTCTTTGAACATGCAATGAAGATGGTAGTTAGGATAGGTTATACGAAGGTTATGGGAATGTTCAATTGGGTAATTAATACTCGCAAATCAAGAACATTTAGCACTAAAAAATGTTATAAATACAAAAAATAAAAAAATGTGACATTGTATTTATCATTTTTACATGTTATGTACACATATATACAAAACGGTACTTATTAGTTTAGTTGTCAGTCCATCCATCAAAAAGTTAAATACATAAAATTGGAGTAACACAAAATTAACAGGAAAAATAGACATAATATAAAACACAATAGATTTCATTTTGTGCAACTTAAGATCACCATATTTTCAAATATTCCTACTGCTTAACAGATTATTTATTTCCTATTACATTAACAAATATATTGCTGGAGACTAGCTTAATATAAGAAAGGCTTAAAAATTAGGTGATTAATGAACAAAAAGGAACCAAATAAACTATGAAAATTGAAATTACCTGAATTATCTTGGTCCAGAAGTCAACATTTTAAAGATATGAGTTGATTGTCTAAACACATAATTAAGAAGTAACTGTTGCAAGAACTACAATTGCTTACTAATTATTGTAATTAACTTTATTTGGTTCCTAGATGCACACTGTTTCCCACAAACTGATTACACAATAAACAAGATATAGACCCTCAACAACACCCTGAGAACCATGAAATTCATGACTCATAATAAACATTTGTATGTATAATCAAAACAAATCTCCAGACAGCAAGTAAGGAAGCTCTGCTTTTTAACTGCCCATGATGATGAAATTAAAATTACAATTCCACAAGTACACATTCTTTCTTCATATTTGCCACTTGAACAAAGGGTTCATGTTCAACTAATAAATGATGGATTAAATTATGATCCACTCTAGGTCTCATTAGTTCATTTTTGACCAACACAAAAATAATGGAAAATTCTATTAATAAATACATTGATATGAAAAACCAACTAACATTCACAACCCTACAAAAAATACTCATAACATTTTAAAGTGAATTAGAAATGCTGAACGCAAGAGCCCAGAAACATTTGTTATGTTTATTTTACACATAGCAAAAGCAAAACAATTGGAAGTACGTCGTGTTCTGAATTTGAAAGCTTTTTTAGGATAATGAACTGCTTTGTTTTACCAAAAAAATTCAAGTCCTTAAAAACTCCTAACCTGACAAAATGTTCAATGTGAGCTGAAACATTGTGAATTTCAATTTTAATAATACACATACTTTTACCAATTACAATTTAAAATTATTATTTTCGTTTGCCAGTTCATTACTGTTCAAAACAGTTTTTTTAAGTTGTGTTTGATAGATATTAAATTAATTTTATGAAGTATTGTATTTTCAGAGAAATAAATCACAGAGAAAGTGAAAAATAATCACATTTCAGTCAAGTAGCTAATAAAACCCCAAATCACACATAGCAGGAAAAATACATAGACCAAAATTTTCTATCACTCTACTGTTTCAATTTCTTATTTTATCCTGATCACATTTGCTATTTTAATTTAAACATCAATTTATTGTTTACAAATAATCCATTTTCTGTTTCAGAATCTTGTCTGCAGACGTTAGAAAAATTGTATGCATTAACCTATGTAGTACTGTATGTAACACATGCAGTCTAACTCCTGAACTTCTCATTTTCCCTCATGCTCCACTGCCTACCATGTTTCATGCAGAATACAACACTACTATTTACTTGAATGATTTATTCAAAAAATGTTACAAAACTGCATGTATTTCCTGACAAATTAAAGATTTCTTCATGCAACACCAAAATCCTCAACTTTTCATTATTCCATGCCTTCCTTTTACTGTTGACAGTCTTAAAATCATGTAGTGTACTATTTGGACAAGAATATTCATAATGAATATATACTTGAGAATTTGTAGCTCAAATATATTTGAGAATTTGTTTCTATTTACTAACAAAATTTATATTTTGTTCAAAGTCCATAAAATGTATTAAATTACAAATATTACCTCATTTAATATTGTATTCCCATCCTCCTCAGCTTTGCCTCCTTTTGAGATTGAAGTTCTTGGAAAAGAAACTAATAACAGCAATAACATTCACTATTAGGATGCGATACGAAAATGTCACCAATATGAAGAATACCCAATAATAATAATAATAAAATTCATTATGTGGCAATAATTTATAACAATTAGGGTTAATGAGATTTCTTGAAAAGAATCAATATGAAAATCAAATATAAATATAGGAGCATTATTATAACTCTAAGCAAATACTTGCATGACGTTATCTATGACACATTGTAAGTTTCACATGGAAAAAAAAAAAAGAGCAAACTCTGATGGAAGACACTGTGAGAGCATTTACAAGAGATGCCTTGTCTCACTCTTTACTCATAATTATAGACTTCCTCCAACATGATAAAAAAATCTTGTCTTAATTACACTTATCCAAACAAATATTTTGTTTGCCTATTTAATTTCATGAATGCCTATTTACAGTATAATATTTAATTAACAATATGTAATTTAAAATCAACTTCTTAAATAAAACAAAATAAAACCAAAAAAAATTGCATTGTCATTTTCAGAAGAAATCCAGTGCCCCCCACCTCTTCTCATCACCTGCAAAGATGTATTAATTGATCTGTATGTAAGGCATATTTTAAAAAGTTGGAATTGATACACTTCTCCTGAAAGGTATAAAATTTACAAAAAATTCTTCTTTGCTTATTCCTGGTCACAGAATTATTCCAGTCAAAAAAGTGATAAGGTGGAAAATTTAATTTTCCAAGAAACAAATTACCCAGGAAGTACTACAAGTTAATTTATAATCAATGACTTATTATGTGCATACTTTAATAACATGACAAAATAACATTGATAAAAATTATTTATTTTAATTAAAAATTATTAAATTTTATATTTGTGGAAAACAGAAGACATGTCTATTAAAGATAAGAAATTTCTAATATTTCTTTGTTAAAAGAAGTTTAAGTTTCTTCATTTTTCAAATCTCATTAGGATTTTCAAAGAATCACAAGAAACAATGTTTAAAAATTCCAAACAACTGGTGATTTCCCACATACATCAACTGAAAATTGCCTTTATTACGGGCAAAAAAACCCAAATTAGAGTGATAATTCTGACAATAATAATTAAATAGATAGGATTTAGAAAATCGCAAATATTTCTTTTAGAGGAACAAACTTCTACAAAAGAAATTCATGAAAATTAAGAAGTTAAAATATAAAACACTATATTCATTGCTCATTGTTTTTAATGATGCCAAATAACTGTCTTAGAAACAAAATGCCTAGGATTTTGCCGCAAAAAAAATAATATTAACCAAAGATAAAAAAGAAAACTACTCTAGCCTGTGCTTCGTCTCAATTTTAATGGGAGGTCATATTTTGTGACTAGTCAGGTTGGTTTATAAAATAATAATAAAATAAAATCTACAAACAGCACATGAGACTTATTGATTTTGATACTAATCACATGTTCTAAATTGCTGCCAAATAGGTACCTTTTTTATATGTATTTTGTTCACAAAGATACCTACCCGAGAGATATATGAATGCATCTTTCAGTACCTAAATTTAGTCTCACAACCCTTAAAATTAATAACCTGCATGGATTTTTTTTAAAGGAATCTTTAACAGATGAAATATAATTGCACACATCATAATTGCATTGAAGGAAAAAATGTCCAAAAAATTCTACAAGCAAGCACAATTAAAATAAAGAATAAAATGCATTAAATCAATTTAAATTATTGTTTAAATAACACATTCCAACTTTGTAAATGTATGCTATTGTTACTTTGTAATTTGTTTCTAGAAAAAGAATTACCAACAAGTACTGAGAGTCTCATTTTAACTTTCATTTTAAAATATTCTGATAACTTTCAATACAAGAAACAATTACTTTAAAGAAAGTTTTCTTAAGTTTTCATTCTGAATTACTTTAAAGAAAGTTTGATGCAATGGCCAAATGTGATCAAGGTTACCGCAAATTGTATTTCTTATCACCCATGGTTTACATAATAAACTGTGTACTTTTTTATTTTCTATCTGAGATAACAACATAATACTGTCTTAAGATGAGAGTATCTCTTACATAAGCTTTAATAATTTTCAGATGTGTTGAAAATACCTTCTTTCCTGCCTGTATCAAAATTTATAGAAAAAGCAATATAAAATATCTTCATTTATCATGTCTGGACATAGCAATATCTGCTCTGTTGTAAATTTGACTTCAAACAAAGTTGTGTGAATGACACTTCATTAAAAAATCAACTCCCTTAGAATTCATAAAATTCACCTCATTTAATTCTGCACTATGAGGAAAACTACAAAATGTCCACAATTTATTAATAATTTATCAAAAATAAACATTTTCCCCCTTATTTGGCAATATAACTAAGTTTAAAATAGTCTAGCAGAAACTCTCATCTAGCAGACAAATATGACATCTTCAGTATGTTTATAATACCTGTGCGTGCTTACTGCAGTCAAACAAGACTAATTTATTCACCTACAACAAACTATACACAAACAGGCATTGTGTAAATACTTCAGACAGGAAACAATTATTAAATATGAAAAGAAATAATGGTATGGTTTATCATATTGACCTTTGAAATGGTTTTAAACTACAACACACTACAACTAAAATCACAAAACTACTACAATGGAATCTCGTTGGTAATGTTTTTTCAAGGAATCGAAAATTTTGAACGTCATAAGCGGGAAAACATGATAAAGAAAAATGTTCAATTTATATTTACTTTTCACCGTCTTCAAATCAGTAGAATAGAGAAAACTAATGGATACTAAATAACAAGCAAGTACCCACAGGATGAACTAATTTATTCATAAATGACCTTGAATAAAACTACTAAAAGTAATGCACATCAAGGCCTGTGTCACACGAGCGTGGGGTTGACGCGCGTCACCTACCGCTGGTGTAGCGACGTCGGTTCCTGTGCACACGCGCACGCTATTGGCGACGTGCGTTGAGCAAACGCGCGTCGCCTGACGTGCGCCTAACGTCGCCAACAGCGAGCGTGTGCCGTTTAGCGCAAAAAATAGCTACTTTAAGCGCGCGTTAAACGACTCGTGTGCAGGCAACGCCATTAGCGTTAGGTGATCCCCGTCAATGAAACGCTCATGAGATACGACTTTAATTTTTTTTTTTTTTTTTTCATAAAAGTTTCTAAAAGCGCGGAGGGGACATTTAAAACACGTTTCTTCCTACTGGAAAATGGTGAATGGTCCCCCAAAGTACCATGAAAACAACACACAATGAAGATAACTCGTGCACCGGAAAACGCTTCTAATTCACGAAGCAATTTACCTACATAAACTTTGAACGTGCTAAGCGGTATTATTACACGTATAAACTAAGAATTTGATCGAATTAGGGCCGGGACTTGAAAATATTAATGTACTATGCGGGGGGAAAAGGCGAAACGGAGAACGTGCTAACGAGATTCCAGTGTATTCACTACACCACCATCAATACACACATTTCACTGAAACTCCACCTACTTCGTGATTCAAAAATCAGGTTTTTAAAAGTTAGACTGGATGGTGTATATTTGACAGTTAATGAAAAAGAATATTCCAGACATTTTCCACGGCAGTTTAGCACGAGAAATGAAGACTGTTGCATGAATAGTTTTTAGTAATTTCAATAGAGAACAACTTTGAATGAAATGAAATTCTTCGTTACAAATATATTTAGAAAATCGCACGTTGAATTTGTCAGAAGCTAATTTTATGACTATTACGAGCATAGACATCCATGAGCAGGAGGAAGCAGCCAATGATAGTTTCGTTGCAAGTCTTAAAGTGTGTGAACATGTCAACCAAGAACGTCTAAACTATAAAATTACAATGAATTTAGTAAATTGATATTTTAAATTACTTTTACTTATTTATTGCAAATTTGATATGTATTTTTCACTTAATTTTCATAAACTGCATCATTGCTTCTCTCTACAAAATTTGACATAGAGAATTGCCTGAAAACTGATTTACCATGAACATTATTAACTGACAAATTGGAATTAATATTATCCTATGACTCAATTCAGGACTCCATTATTCTCAACTGTAAATGAGAATACTTTAATGTAAGCTGGATTAAAAAAAGATTTTTCATTTGCCACTGAACTCTTTCAAGAATTATTAAATTACAATATTTAAATACTGTCAACATGGATTTAATCTGTTTCCATGAACTGAAAGATCATTAATTAAATCATTTTATTAACCCTGAATGATCTTACAAAGTAATAAAATTGTCTATGAACCGACAAATTTTGTTACTAACCATTTTAATCCTTTTCAAAACCACTTAATATCACAAAGATTTAACATTTCACACTGTAACTTGCTTATTACAAATAATATGTATGAGGCAATGACACATATGTGCATAAATGTTCGCATGTATGTATAAAGAAGTAGAGAAAAAAGTAGGAACAAGTCTGAAAACTTGTTTACAAAAAATAAAACTGTTCTTTCAACAGTTGTCTTCATTTTCAATAAACAGAACTTAATCAACTTTTGAAACACAAACAGCATATTATCATATTCTATCATTGAAAATTCTCATTATTTAAAATTTTAATCCACAAAGTAAGTTCTTCAAACAAAACTTACAGTTATGAGCCAGTCCACTTTTTGTTGCAGAACTAATTACAGAAAAAGGTAATGTTGTCTTTATTTAAAGTTACCTTTATTAAAAATAATTAAGAAATAAAATAAAATAAAAGAATACAATGTATCTCTTGCGACAAAATGCCAAAAATAGTTACATGACTCATATTTCAAAAAAGATAAGACAACTTAGGTCATTTTCCTACTCGCCAGTTCTCTCAATTAGGAATCAGTGCACCTATTACGGGCATGTAAGTGGGATAACGAAGACCAGCAAAAACATCAGGAACAATTTTAACATCAGGATGCGATGAGAATCCTTCTTGCAGCCATTCTTCTTAATGCAGCTCACTGTGAATTTAAAAAATTATAAAGTAAGGTAAGATTACATCTCAAAATCAAAATCCTTGATTTGAGCAATGCAATCATTTGAGCTTGAGCATCTAATAATTACAAAATTCACCTTCTTACTTTTTTAAAATTGGATCAATTTTATTTTACTCACTCCTAAAATATCAACCTTTTATGAAACAGGACAATAAAACTACACAAAATGATGGGTAATTTTAAAGAGAGAAACTCACAAAATAGTAAGATATAAACATTTACACAGTGACAAAATAATATGAATTTGTTATGTGGGGTATGTTTAAGGGTTTTCTTGATACTAAAAATATTCTAAAACGAATCATCTCTTAAAGCACAATTAAAACAATCCATAAATATGTCACTGGTTATTCTTCTGCCAGGTCTTTAAAACGCTCATCAAACGGTGAAAGTAAGGTTAGTCTCCAAGTGGAATTGTTTCAACACCTTTACATAAGAGGAATATGCTTTTTATTTTGCTAAGTGTATTTCAATGATGTTATTTACAAGTGAACTCTGCAGACATGATTGCAAAAAATACTGAACTCTGCTACATGCTATCTTAAGCATCTTTCTACGAAACTACACTTATAAATGGAGAAAATTTAATGTTGTTTCAGCTGCTAACAAACTCAAGAATATATTAAATTCTAGAAAATCATACTCAATTATGCATCCATTTTTATTAAAATCATGATACATTCTTTCACCTTTTTCTTGCTTCTGCTGGTGAGCTTATCCATTCAAATAATTGCAAGAACATATTCCTATATACACAATGAACTGAATTAAAAATTCTGAGACAATTACTATAACAAATGTAGAAGCGTTTAAGAATTATGTCCCACTCCAACTAAACTAATAGTTGAAACTACCTCATTACTCAAACGGTAGTAAACAGATTCATGGGTTCTTGCGAGAAACCAGTGTTAAAGTTTAAATAAAATAAATTATTTCCATTATTAATGCTGTACCTAAAAGAAAATATATACACAAGTGTATTCACAAATATTACAAAATTGTTCAACAATAGTTTATTCCTTCAATCCATTTATCCCACCATCCACTTGGACCATCCTCTCCAAATAAAACTCTCGCATTCTCTAATGTTTTCTTGTTATTTAATTATTCTCTAATGTTTTCTTGGTACTGAATTTGTATTTTGCATACACTGAATTTTTGTCTTTTACTTATTGAACAATCTTTTCCTGATTCTGCAATAAGATTGGGATTGTGCCTTCTGGGTAAATTTTTAAAAAACACTGTCTAAAAATGGAAATATATGAAATACAACAAAATCACATGTCTTTTACACATTTTGTTACAAATCCCAGCTCAAAAATTAGAGAACTCCCTGAAATACTACATTTTAATTACATTGTAATAAATTCTTCATGGGGTTCCATAGTCACACACTTGCTTGAGAATTCTGGAGTAAAAATCCTCCAAATTAATGTTTATTTTGAACAAGAATCCATTATCTTCAAAAAGTTAATTGTGACAAATAATTAGTCTTATTAGTTTCTTCTATATTGAAAGCACTGAATCTTCTAACATCAACTTAGGAACATTTAGTGGCAAGCCAAACTGACAGTAGTTTTCTAAAATTGTTCACTACTTCCATATTCATAGTATTCCATCTATCCTTTCTGTCTTCTAGCCACTTCCAGTCCCCTTTATCACTTCAACCATCTTTTCATCACTCCATCACTTTTAATTCACTTTTCCTCAATTGTATACACACAACCAAGAGAAACACCAATAACTAAAAGAACAGGAAAAAGCTTGATACATCTGCTATTGGCATGTGGTGTCAATTTTTGAAAAAAAAGACGTTATATTTATGTTCATTTTTTCCCTTTAGTTCCTTCAAATATTTCATCAATATCATCATTTTCTTCCACATTATTATCTCCCCCCTTTCATCATTTTAATGACACTAATCATCAAATGTCAGATCAAGTCTGTTTTCTGCTCATCATTTTTCATCTACAGTAGTTCATTTATTCTAGTTCTACTCTTCAATCATGTCTTAACGTTTTGTGTTTACCCTCACTTTGTTAAGTTGCTGTACATATTTTTTGTTTCCTTTCTCTCTGCAACCTTCTCATCCTGTTCAAGTCTTTTTCTCTGTCTTTTAGCAGTGCTCTAACAAAAGAAAAGATGTCAATTATCATTATGAATAATAAGTTTAATACTATCATAGTTGACTGTTCTCACCTGCTTTTCATAATAAAAGGATGTTTTTAATTTTCAGTGGTGCCAATACAAAGGTTTATACACTCCTCCCCAGAAATGGAGAATTTTGTTATGCTATTAGAAGGACATTACTAACAGTAAGTTACAATATTCTGTGATGATTTCAACAAAACTATTTTGCAAATGCAATTACTTTTAACAGAATGGAATTATTCGTCCCATTTCTTCTCTTCTTTTCCATCCATCTTCTACTTCAAGAATTTTGTATAATCTCTCTCTTCAGAAAATATTGTGAAACGAAACTTATTTTATGTATTCACTTTCATCACGTGCATCACATACTTGATATTCACATCAAAATCCCAGTTCCACAACTTCCAATTCATCTTCACATCTTCCTTCATTACTTCAACTTGGATAAAAGTACTTTATATGCTTTGCTGCTGATTTATCTTTAACAATAGACTTATTAGTCAAGGTTCTCTCAAAACCATACAATTTAACAATGCTTCATGTAATGCGAGACCAGTTTAACATCCATAGAAATTAAATGACTTCATAGGCAATGCTTCACTAAATAGGATTGATTTGAATCTCTTTTTACTTACAAAAATAAGGTTAAAAAACATGCCAGAAAATTATTCATGATTAATATAGAGTACATCCTTATTTATCTTATTGATGCTGTACCAGTAAATCCATGTTCTTTCTTTCATTGTCATACTAATTCATATTACAATCCCATCAACACCTAGTAACCTAATTTGCGGATTGTATTTACCTTTTTACTTTATTTGGGGATGAAGAAAGGAGTACAATCAATTTATACTGTATTAACATAAAGTAAAAAGGTCAGCTTTCTTTTACACAATACCAAAAATATTCGGATTCCATCAGATTAATATTCTATTACTTACTCATTGAATTCACGATCAATTGGAAGTACTTCTCAATTTGAATCATCAACAATGATTGTAGTATTTAATTACTACGAGCATCAAAAGGAAGAGTTATCTTTATAGTCTCCATGCAATATGATCTATGCCAAGTTTCTTATCTTCAGTCTGAGGCAGGAACTGGGAATGTCTTTCTGTAATTCATTATGAATAAAATTCATTGAAATGAATCAATGATATTTTAAAATAATTCGCAACAAGTCATTTAAATGGAATGTTACATAAAACATATTTATAACTTACCTCCCAGTATATATCCAAATTCAGATGTAATGCCAGAATCGGAGCCACTCACATCTACACACTCATAACTATGAATGATTTGGAATGAAATTCCATGCTTAATACTGATTATTTAATCACAATGGGGTGAATTTTAAAGCATATGTATCTTAACTTACTGATGGATGTACTTTACAACTTCACTGATAACTTTTTACAAACCAATGTTCCTATGTCAGATTATTATTTCACATTCTTCATCACTTGATACTAAATCAATAACAGGAATTAATGAGAGATCCTTTGCGGCGACCTTTGAACAGGATAACTCTGGAGATGTTTTAGGCCCACTTGAAATATGAGGCACTTTAGAGAGAGACACAGAAAAATTGTTCGCTACCTTTGTAGTTATATTTGCTTCTAATTCACTCCTTGTTTCTTTCCTACTCAATGAAGCACCATTGCCCAAACTGCTGTTAACCCTCTTTCCATTGGTAGTACTCTGCTTGTTCACTGATGTCAATACTTCAACCTTCTGTTTCCTTGAATGGTTATTTTCAATTATACTACTAGTCACCTTTTGGGAAGGCAAATGAACACTATTTGTTGATTGTCTAGACACAAGAGGAGTGTTGCATTTTGGTTCTACAACAGAACTAATAGATGCTCTCTTGGCACCACTAGAATTATTTGTATAATATGCAATCTCACTCGGCGTCAATTTTCTCACATATACTTGCAAGTTCTGGCACTGACTAAGTAAATTTTGTTTCTTATTCCCTAATCTACTCTGCACAGATGTTCTTGTTCTTCCTCTCCATTGCCTTCCAGGTTTCCTATACACATGAACCCAATCATCATCCGTTTTCTTACGAGGTTTCCATGAAACTGGCCAAAGTGTACTTCCTCTATCCCGATTGTCATCATTAACAATTGATGGCTTGGCAGGGCAATGTCGCTCAAGCCTTTCTAATTGTACTAGAGCAGTTGTAGCTGATGCTCGTGTTTTCTTATAAACAAGCATTCCTAGAGGGGATGAAATCGGTATACTTGAATACCAAAAAGAATTTCTGAAACCACGTTTTCGTAAAGGATGGTCAACATTTTTTGTAAGGTTCTTCCCCTTGGCATTAAATAAGTTGAAGTAATTTAAAAAACTGTCCTTAGAACTCTCCTCAGTCACTCGTGGGGGTGAAGGTTGTCGCTGATTTGTACAACAACATTTTTCATGCTCTTGTACTTCTTTTAAGGTATTAAATTCTTCATCACAGTTATCACAGAGATACACATCATATAGGGGAGGCTGAACCATAGCCTGTTGCTCGCCAGATTCTCCATTGCTTCTTGATAGAAGAGTCTTCTTGGGACTACTCCTTTTTTTGTCATAAAATAGATTTTCATTCCTAAAAGTAACAAGCAACTTCCCATTCACTTTATTGTAAAGTGAAGTAGTCCCATCCCAACTATTTACATATTTCAAATCCGAAACTGGAAGCTGTGACAATTCAGCACAGAAACGCAGCATAAAATCGCACTCATGGTAATGATAACAGTGACAAACCAAGTTTTTTAGAATAAGAAACCACTTTGAATCAGATACTTCTCTGGGTCTAACTAACGGAATGGAGAATTGAAGGCTAGACGGCCACCAAGGTGGTGCTGTCAATTTCCGTACATCATTTTGGCCACACGAACACTGAACCATAAATGGAACGAATTTTTCTAGTTGGACAAGATTAATTTTTTCTAAACATGTAGGTTGTCCGTCAGCAAACAACAATGGAAGATTAGAAATCATATTTTACTTAGTTTAATGCTTATTTTTCGCACTAACACGAAGATATTTTCACTCGTGTAGACCACACGATTTTTACAACCCTCACATTGTATTTTCATCGCTGCATAACCTGCCATGTCTTCCCATTCACCCTCATTTTGATGTATACTAGTACATTTCACTTCTCACAACATGGGCTTTCACTACACCACACTACACCCAACAATTGCTAGTCGCCTATACGGTGCATTCGCGCCTATTGCCAAGTAGCAAGTACCAACTTATAACACGATTTGAGAGTATTCCAAAGTCAACAGCTTTCGGTTTCCTTCGATAGGATGCAGTACAACAGTAGCTGAGCTGCAATGAATCCTGAGAAATATATCGCCCTTTGGAAATCCTGGTTTCTACAATTTTCAGAGCAAAACATTCTGAATATATTTTAAAAGGTCAAAGAGCAATTAGTGTCTCTTAAAGTACAGGATTCTTGCACTTCAGAATTTTGACAGCGTGAGAAATTTCGAGGGCACATAAGGCGGAAAGTGCCGGTAACACGTGAAGATCATCGAATACTATGGTTTATTTCCTAAATATGTGAAAATCAGATGACTAAAAGACGTAGACGTGCTTTTCGACCTCTAACCAATGGCGACGTTGCAGTGAATAGTTAGTATGCTCTGCATTTTACTTTCTGATTTTTGTAATAAAATATATTGTAATACTTCGTATCGACATGAAAGGTATTGGGCTCTTGAAAGAAATCTGTGACCCAAACCTTACAAATATGTTATTTAATCTAGAAATGTTTTAATGTTTTGCAGCAAGCACATGCAACTTTTAAGACATTTTCTCGATGCAACATGAAATTCTCTTGAAATCTAGCATGCAAGCTACTGTTATATGGAGAAATGAGCGTGGCAATATCGTGTTTCGTCAAAAAATACAAGATATAATTATTAGTGTATTCCTAATGTCACAAGTGTGTTTATTTTCAGATCGCTTGCCAAACAATATATATTGACCTACAAAGTCATCCAAAGTTGCTTGTAGTACTAGTAGAAATTATAATTTTTTTTCGTATATTGTTCACCTCATTATGCAATATTGGTAACGGAAGTTCATTCTTAGTTCAAAATAATTAGTTCATGCAAATTGTTTTATTTGCCCCTTCCTTCTCCTTCTCCTATACACTTCCTACAGAGTGTTCTTAAAAATACATTGATGATTTGATTTATTTTCGTCAAGGAACAGTAAAAAAAGACACGCCATCTATGAGGGAGAAGTATAATCTGCAGACGTTTTCTTTTGCTCCAGAATCTCTTCAACACCCTTTGTTCAACACCGATTTTTTTTTCAATGTGTTGTGCTTTTGCAACTTGTCTCTAAGCGTTTTCTGCGTCATTGAGCGCATGGAATAATGAAGTAATCATAGTCAGTCGTACTCAGTCATTGCCGTTTATCCCTTCAGCTAGGCGTTTTATCAGGGATGGAGCCAGCCGATCATTGCGGATGGGGGGGGGATATAGTTTTGTTAAATAATAAACATGTTGTTTACAGAGAAAAAATGCGCACAGCCAAAGGATGAAAGAAAGGCTAAGAAACATCTTGCGTAGCCCCAATTGGACTTATTCGCAAGAAAAAGATTTTGTATTATTAAAAATTGTTATTAGTTGATATTAATAAAAATTAAAAATTGTTAATATTTTGCAGATTATTTTGAAGTGTATATATGATACTATACGTATTATTTTTTGATAATTACATAATTCCAGTATAATTATTTAAATCAATTATGCCAAATACTAATAAATAAATATATAAACAGAAAAATAGATAAACTGATCCTTGTGCAATTTAACAGTATTTTTTTAAATGATCTTTTTAATAATATATGTTACCTTTAAACAGAAGTTGCGCAAAAATAAGATAAACAGTTAAATATTAATCTTAATTTTAAAATCATGTACATGTCTTTTATCCTCATTTAGTAATTTTGCAATGTTAACTTTTAGATACTTTAGAAGTTGCTAAACGTAAATATATCTACCAACAATTGTTTACAGATTTTGACATATACACAAGAATTAAAAGTTAAATTTTGAGGTCGTTTTTAGAAAATAATTGCTTAAAAATTGCCCACATTTCACGCAAAATTACGCGAAAACTACTTATATCTTCGAGAACTTGTACAAAGCCTTAGGTCAATCAGTCTTTGAAAACACATTTTATTATGAAAAAAAATTCTTCAACATAATAGTTGATGGAAAGTGGCGAAATATTAAACTTTTAAAATTTTCGCAATGACGATGTACAGCCACGTACAATATCGATTATTTTTGTAATATCTTTATCGTCAAATGTAGTATAAAATATGAGAGACGTATTAGAAAACGTTAGTTGTTTTCCAGGCTATTATAATATAATATAATTATAATAGAATAGAATAATTTAATATATAAAAACAATGTCTTTGTTGCTTAATGCCCTGCCGTTCCGATTATCCGATTGCGATAATTTGTCATCTTATTGCAAGCACTTGTGGGAAGAATATAGGCATAGAACGATGGGAATGTATATAAGCGTGCACACATAGACGGGTCTTGATGATTTTAAGCTGAGTCAAGTGTCTGAACATGGCCCTCTTCGACAAGACGCTCGAAGCAAGCCACCGCACCCTGAAGTACGATTATTAAGACGTCTTCATTGCGTATACTGCCCCTGCGATTGTGAAATTTCTACGAAGAGAGACAGTGGAAGACAGAGACGCGGAGAGAAAAACAGACAGTCAGAGAAAGATAGAGCTTGATGTGTTGAGACGGAGAGGAGTCAGAGGGACAGGGACAGTGAGAGAGAAAGGGAGAGGAAAGGACCAAGAGAGAGATGGAGGGCAGGACAATGTCTGCCGTGTTCCACTAATAATACATAAAAGTCCATTATTTGAGAGGTTCATATTTCACATTCACAGTAAAACTTAAACATAATTTTCTTAAAAACAGCCCCAAAGTTTTCAATAAATGGTTTCATGTAGGACAAGGTTTTGCTCTTCTTTAATATTTTAAAGTAATAATTCAATTGTACTACAATAGCATCATATTGTACTAGAATTAGAAAATTAAGAAAATATTTTTAAAAATGTACTTTGGACGATAGATGGCAGGTGGCAAGAGAATTTGGCAAGCCTGAATAGCTATCCGGGACCAAAGGAAATAGAAAACTAACACGGGAAGGTCTGTGCCATTCTGTAGCAAGACTAGTTTAAAATTTTCTCAAAAATTATTCCAATTTTTGATTTAACTTTTTCCTTGGATACCAAACTGAACGGACAGTCCGACAGTCCATTCTTTGTTATCAAGAATTCACAAACCGTGGAATCTCACCACACGTGTTGATTGATTGATTGATTGTTAGTGATTCAGGACGCGTCTACTGCTAAGGTCAGTAGTCCCGTAAGTGTAATGCGGGGTTTCTCTTGAGGTGGCGACGACCTTACCCGGATGGAAGGTGAGATCCGGCGCCGATCTATCTGTCAGCTAGCGAGATTTTCCGCTACTAGGTATCTCCTACCACCGGGGCACCGCTCCAGCCGGGACAAGCTCTACGCTCCCGACCGGTCTCCCGGCATGTTGTGCTAGTGTAGTGCATGTACGTGTAAGTGTGTGTAAGTAAAGTGTAAGGTTAAGTCAAGGAAGAGGAAGAAAAAGATCTGTAGCCCGTTTGTTAGGGTCCTGTATTCGCTTGGCGTGAATCGGAGAAATCACGGAAAACTACCGATCCGAGCAGCCAACTTCTAGAACTTTCCAGTCAGCGACTGCTAGTGTCGAAACCAGCTATCTAGCTAGTGTCGAAAATCCTTGCCCCCGACGCGGCTCGAACTACAGGGCCTCCCGGTCAGAGGCACAGCAGTGACATCAATTGACGCCCTGAGCCATCTCTTTCGATCTACACGTGTAAGAGGAAGTAGTTTTCTACACGTGAGAACAAGGTTTATACAGTTTCTTTTTACCGGGGTGCGACAATACGAGTTTTTCTTCCAAGAAATTGCCCATTTTCGAAGCAGTATTACAAAACTTTCTCGTAACTACAAAAATGTAGTAGGGCGAAAAAGTGAAAATAGCAAGCTGGGTTGGGGATAGTATACGTATTATTAGAATTCATTATTTTTCCTGCCGAACACACGAATATGAAATGTAAATACCTTGGCAACGCGAGGGGGGGGGGTTCAGGTTGTTGAATTTGATTTTGTTTCGTCAAAGAACAATAAAACTGTTTTGTTATTGTTATTGTGTATGTACAGGGGAAAAGTACAATTTGCGCACGTTGTCTTGACCTCTAGAATCTCTTCTCTTCCCTTCAACCATCCATAGTGGAACGGTGAATAAAAAGAGGTACTAGCAAAGCGAGGTTAGCAACATTTGAAAACAAGACATTTGCACTCCCGAGATATATAAAACTATAGAACAAAGAAGTCTGGCACAACTTACGAGTACACATGTTTTGTTCGTGGCAGTGTCATTCCCAGTCTCTCGTGTATTACCTCTATACCTTCCGAAATCTCTTTTTTTTCCCTTCTTTTTTGAGTTAAGGATCTCATTTCTGTTTAATAAAATAGAAAGCATACCTATATC